AGTGTTGATGGTTACACTTGAATAGTTGTAGATATTAATAATGTTTTCCCTCTGCAATTTTAAGTAGTCCATAAATAAATTGTCTAAGTTATTTAAGTCTCCAATGACTGATACACCTTCAAATAGATAGTTATTATCTGTTTTATTTGTTTGATAAAACTATCAATAGACTTTAGTGAGTATTTGGTTTGTTAATGTTTTGATTCCAGTATCTATTGTACTAGTTGGAAATAAATTTAAGAACAAAATTCACCAGTCATTTACTTTTATCATTTTCAAATATTTGTTCCATTTTGATATTCCTCTGCTTTTGTTTTTTCTAAACTAAGGGTCACGTCATTTGATCTTTGTTTTTATCAATAAATCCAATTTTGGTCCTTAGTGATTATCTCAAGACAAGGTCAGGTGGACATTGATTAAATCAAAATCCCAAACCAAAGCTTTTAATATTTGCTCAAGGATAAAATCTTAATTCTAGTTCTTCAGAAATCTCCAGCAGACCAAGAAAATGTATGCGATGATTTTTTTTTTTTTTTTTGGCTGCTGCTGCTGCTGTTATCTCTTTCTTTATGATAATTTAATTATTTATTTTTTTGTGGGGAGAAATCCTTCTTAAATTGTTGGCTGCCTGATTCCAACTTTAATCAAAGGAAGTTGTTAGTTTTTCATTTGTGAAATTTATTTTTTTTTTTTTTGTTTATTTCAAGAAGTAAAAAAAAAAAAAAATAGCAAATTTTTTCTATCAGAAAGATTTCTTTAACGAAAAAAAAAAACAATGTGTTCAGTGGTAGTAATTTTTGTGTAGCTATTTAAATCTGACTTTTCCTCAATATGGAAAAATTTGGTTACAAATGATAAAAAGACTTGAAGTGATTAAAATATGTTTCTGCTATAACATATTTGAGGTTTTGAAAGGTAATTTCTGGAAAAAGTTAATTTTTATTTATTTTGTTTAATAGAATTGTGAAATGTTAAAAAAATTGAACTTTTCTGTGCTTTTAGAATATTGTTCAGAATCAAGCAAGCAGATTGAAAAGGTATTGCTATTTCGAATATACCCCCTTGCCCCACCCCTCACCAACCACTGAGTTGTTAATGCTTGGTCAGAGGAGACATCATCTGCCAAGCTCTGGTCATCTAAAGTTTTGGAGGTGCACCCATATCCCCTTGTATCATTGGCATATATATTTACAAATGATCAGAGTATACTCTTATGGAAGATCATTTATGTAAAGTAGAAAGAAAGTAGGATTGAGAAATGAGCCTTGGTGAATGTCTGCATTGATCGCTTGGGCTTTGGAGAATTGGCTGTTAACTACTTTCAGGGTCCTACTCATTAAGAAGCACTTTATAATTGAGGAGACATTTCTAGTGATTCTATAGCTAGAGAGCTTGTACAGTTATCCTTAATGCTATGCCCTGTCAAAGGCTTTGAAATATCTAATGCAATTGTTCTTGAGATGTATTTGTTATCTAGTACCTTAATGATTCTGTGAGTAATGACAAGGATATCAGCAATGAAACAAGCTAATCGACATCTGTATTCAAGTTCAAGAGGTTGTCCCTATTGCGGTGATCAACAACCTCATTGCTTATTATAGCTTCAAAAAGTTTGCTAATGACACTGAGGAAACTGATGGGTCTATACCGTGACATAAATATGCACTTCCCCGCATTTTTGAAAACAGGGCATATGCTTGACACCTTCCACGCACTTGGGAAGGATTTATCTTTCAAGTAGCAGTTAAATAATTTTGCAAATATTGGGTATAACTCTGCGTTAATATTCTTAATAACGCCCACTGGGATTTTGTCTGAACCAGTATCGTTGTTTGGGTCAAGAATTTTGATAAATCTTGAAACTTCCTAAGCTATAATAAAAATATTAATGAGATTTATGCTCAGTGAGACTGGGGAAGTCAGTAAAGAGATGATCTTTGTCATCTAACATTGAATTAGAGGCAAAGCTTTGCTTTATCTCACAAAGTGGAGATGACCTCGGGGTCATTTTATAATAGTAGGCACTTTTACTTTGCCTCTATTCAGAATTTTGCTTCTAGAACTCTCTGGATCCAAGTTATTTGCTTTCAATCTTGGCCTTGATTGCTTGTGCATGTCTCCACTTTGTATTTTCTAGACCTCTCTTGCTCTGATTACAGACAGTTTTAAAGGCAGCAAGTGTTCTACTACATTGTTCCCTGTGATAGATATTGTAGTAGTAGTTAAAGGAAGCTATGGCTGCAGCACATTCAGGGTTGAACATTCAGCTGTATGAACTTTTGTTGGAATTTTTTCTGGTGTCTAAAACTCTCCATTCCAGAAAGGATCCATTATAAGATAAAGGCAGCATTTTTGGAGACAGTATGTTTGAAGAAGGCTGAGAGGGGAGAGCTTCTGCTATGTAACATCTGAAGCTGTCTTAGTCAGCTTTTGTGTATGAAAAATCGTTCTATGGAATGGCATATCAGAGGGATGCCTTTAGTTTGGTATCAACTCTTTGACACTGATAGTGAAAGATTTGAAGTGCCCAATGAAGTATTTTTCAGGGCAGGGTTTGAGGAAGAGGTCAAGGAGGTTTGGCAGTTGTCATGTTGTATCAGGAAAGTGGGTGGGTTCTTCAGCGATCTGTGTTAGTTTGTAGGCAACTGAGAAGTCCCTGCAGTATCTGCTGTCTTCAGTTTTGTTCAAGTGGACTAACCACTCTTAGTGGTGAATATTGAGGTCACCAGAAAATATGAAAACTTGCTGAGAGATACTCATTAGAGATATTGCTAATTGTCTCAGCTATTTGGTTGAACATGAGTTCTGTCATTGTGAGGACGATACAGAGTGAAAATGAAAGTAGCACTAATCAAATGCTATACTGAAGCACATATGAGAGATCAGATCTGTAGTTTTTTGGTCTATACCCCATGGAAACCTGTCTTTAATATAGGCACTGAGTCTGTGACTGTAGCGATTTTGATGGTCATGTTTAGCTATTAGAGATGAGTAGCCAGGGACTGGTGTGTGTGTATATATATATATATATATATATAAAAAGTGTAAATTTTAAATTCATTTTTCATTTCACCTTTTGAAAGTGAAGTCTGAAGATCCAGAGAAAAATAAATTCTCTGGTGAAATAAATTATTACACTGGAGCCTTAAAGTGGTCTGTTTTCTTTAAATTATATATATATATATATATATATATATATATATATATATATAGCAAAGGAAGTTTTATGTAGGATTTAAAGTTTCTATTTAGGCACTAACGGAGAAAATAAACATGGAAAGCCATTTTTTTCTGTTCAGTGTTCGCAGAAAAAAATAATTAAATAACAAACAAAAATATTAACAAATATTTAAATAGGAATACCTCCTATGAAAAACAGTCAAGATTGATTGGTTCAGTTGTTGATTTAACAATTATTTTCATCAAACTGATAGTATTTTGTTCTGACGACCAACTTAAAAGACCATTCTGTTCCCACTGTCCATCCTTTTTGTAGTTTGGAGTTGATGGCTTCTTTTCTCTCTTTACCTTTGGTGTCAGGATGAAAGATTTAGAACTTTCTACAATTTTTTTCTTTTTTACCCAGCATTTGCAGAAGAAATTAAGGAATTAAATAACAAATAAAACATTTAAAAAATTATGGTCCATTATTTTTTGTTTTTTCTTTTGTTTCTGTGGAAGCCACACATCAAAGTGTCTAACATAACCAAGCAGATCCAAGAGATTTTCAGTGTTTGATTGGGACATTTTCAATATGTTAGCTATCTCCTATATTGTACAATATTGATTATTATTATGTCTTTATTACTTACATTACCTGGTCTATCCAAATGTTAAGCTTCTCTCTCAAGCAAGAAATCTATATACACCTATTGTTGACTTTTTTTTTTTTATCATTCTCAGTATTTCTCTATACATTGCATAAATCTTATTTTTTTCACATTTCATAAAATAAAAGTATAAGATGTTAAGGTTTTTCATTTACAATCTATATAATAAATGCAAATGTCAGTGTGTCACACTTTTTCAGCTTTACTCCTAGAGGTTGTAACCCAACATTTTGGAATCAGGCCGACTCTGTCAGCAAGTTAAAAACATTCTGGGCCAGATCCTGAAATTTTGGATTTCCAATTCATTATTGTGATTGTTTTCAGATTCCACCATGTTTGCTTCTAACAATAAAAACAATTAAAGGGGCACAACTCTTTAACTTTCAATATCTCATGTTACAGAAATTTTGGAGTCCCAAGTTTTCATTACTGCAATTGTTTTTAGCAATTTATTTTTTTAACGTGATTTTTTTGCAACAAAATTTTTTGTATGATAAAAATTTTTATAAATTGGAAATAAATTTGAGAATAATTGAAATTAGTTGCAAAATCCATCGAAAGTCACCCATGAAATACAAATAATTGTTTGTATGGAAAGTAAGGACCTATACACATCAAATTGTCTTTAAATTGTTGCAACAGAGGAATTATCATTGGACTTTTAAAAGGTAAGCTTAAATATTAATGCAATACTTAAATGCAGCAATCAATTTTGAGTTCTTCTGTAGTCTATTGTTGCCTGTTGCATATGGTAGCATTATGCCTCGCAAAAAGAAATCTCCGCGAACAGAGGACCAGATTACAATCAAAAGAGCCAAGGCTGCAGTGAGGAAAAGAAAGCTCAGGTCAAACAGCAGCCAGGAGAGTTTCCAATGCTGAGAATATGCAAAGATTTAGGGACTCTCAAGCTCCTGAAGGCTCAATCAAGAACCCTCTGCAGGAGCTATCTTAAATGCTACCTGATAGGGCAGCTTTTAAAATAGTGTTAGAATAAATAACAAAAACATGTTAATTTCATAAAATGCATGCTATTACAGCTGTCACCCTATCACCAATAGAAAGCTTTTTGAATGCTCCTAAATTTTTTCTCATAAAGTCTTATAAATAAAAACATCTTAATGATCTCCCTATTTTTCAATTCTAATTATCCAATTCTTTTCTTGTGCACAGTACCAGCCCCTGTTGTTCCTCCACACAGAAGACTTGCTCCTCCATTGTTAAGTCCTTCTCCCTCTCGGGTAGGATCACAAAAATCCTCCATTTATTCCTGGAATATTTCAAGCAATGTGAATATTTTTGTCAAATCTGTCAGTCAAGTGCAAACAACAGAAAGCAGAGTGAGTATTTTTACTGAAGTTTTAAATTTAATGGATATGTCTCTTGAATAAAAGCAAACAATTTGATTATTTTTTTTTCTTTAAGTTTTTTTTAATCTGTAAAAGAAAATTTGAAGTTTAACTTTGGATCAAGCAACCAAAAAAGTGTCAAATGAACTTTTTTATTCAATTATCATGTAAGAACAATTTTTTTTTACAAGAGCATGTAATTTAATTTGTTTACTATATCAATAGATTATTTATTTACAAAATTAAAAAATATTCTTATAGTTCACAATAAGAATAATTTTATATCTACAAGATTAAAAAACATGTGACCAAACTATAATGAAATATACAAAAATAACTCTGAAAACAAGTTTTTTTTTTATTCCTAAAACTAAAAAAATATATCTGAATTATAAAACAAGAAAATTTAAGTAAATACATAATGATAAGTAACTAATTATAAATTTACTTTTCGTATAATTGTGCTTAATTACAGATTATAAATTAATAACCTTGTTAATAAATAATTGCAGTGTTTAACGTTTTTATCAGTTCTCAAGGAAAAAACTGTATAAATTTAGTTTTGTATTAAAATTTTTAAAATAACTTTTTAAAACAGTAAAAATTACCAAAGGACAAGGCTAATGAAGTATCAAGAGAAAAATATCCTTTTAAAACAGATTTTTGTTTTGCCTGATCTTGAGTTAAATGTAAATGAAAATTTTTCTTTTTGAGGCATAGTTATTTTTAAGTGATCATGGTAGTAATGAGAAAATCATTTAAATTTTTTTAAAAGTAAAAAATGTGCAAAACTTTTTCTATTTGTTTTATTATGATTTTGTTTTTAAATCATTTCACATAGTAAATTAAAAAAAATTTCTTCAAAGGAAAAAATTATTTTCTTTGTTAAACATTGATTTCATTAAACTTTAGCTAATCCACATTTCTTTGCTTATTAAACATTTCTGAACTTTTTTTCTGTCATGTATTTTGATCAAAGTTTAACCTTTTTGTACTCTAAAATTTTGGCATCAACATGTTTATTAATGATGTTGTTAGAAAACAAACCTGATGTAATTTCATCTTTATTGTAAAACCAGACTAAGCAAAAATACAAACCACAATGATGTTGTTGGTCTATATTCAGACAGAAAGATAAAAATTTTACAGCAAAATTACCATTAATTTTTTTTTTTTAAACCTTTGGGTACATTTTAGATATAAATTATTTTGAATATACCAGTGTATAGTGATTTATTTTTGTGCTATATGTCAGTTATATATGGGCATGTGTCTGAGTGGTTAGGACGTTCAGATTCTGACCATGAGACCCGGGTTCAAAACTCACCATGGTCTATTTGTCAGGATAAGACTTCCTGATGTTATCGGACTGGAGGGTTGATCCCAGCATGTGGCACCTTTGGAAAGTTCCTGAAAACCATACCACGGGTTGACCCAAGCCTTGTCAATGAAATTGGGTAGATGGAATCCTTGGGGGCTGTTGTTAGCTCTGCTAGCATGAAGTCGCAAGTAATCATGGCTGAGGGCTTGAGCGTGCTGGCTTTGTTCAAATTGTTGATCACACTAGATAATACGCTCTTTCCAAGAAATTGTAACTAAGATCTTCTCAGCATAGTTGCAGTATGAACCATAGGTGGGCTCTGTGGGTGTTGAATGGCTAGTCGCTTTAGTAGATGAGTTATCCTTGAATACAAGTGGCCAGCTATACATATGTCAGTTTTATATATATATATATATATATATATATATATATATATATATATAGTACAGGTAATAGATCTGTTGTTATATAATTCAGGTGGATCCTAATAATATCAAATATTAAAACTGATCCACAAAGAGAGCTCAATGTATTTATTATAACAGAGCATATAAATTACATAGCAAAAAAATTCAAAACTACCTCATGTGGGTATAAATTTATTTCAGTCATCACCTTATTCAACCCTGGTGAATGGACTGTATTCGTATCGGAATCAGGGACTTAGAATTTAACTTAGACAGCAGTTGATAAATTGATATTGGACCTACCTAATTGACGCTATATTAATGTTTGTTCATGAAATTTTGTGTTTGTTTCTGCATCTGTTTGAGGGGTGGAATTGTGTGAAAAGTTGAAAAAAAATATGGCAGTGAAAACAAATATTGGCTGGCAGATAACAGAGGTTATTTGCTTGAGCTGGTTTCAGAGAGGAAGATAAAAATCAATGGAAATGTTTTATTGAGGATAACAGACGTGCCCAGGAAGATGGGAGCGGTGTGTGTGTGTGGGGGCGGGGAGTAATTGTTGGCAAGTGATTCTGAAACAGTAGACGTTATATTGAATAATAAAATGGTAAGTGACTGGTTTCAATGACAAACAGTTCATATTTATGTGTTGTTGATAATCTTTACCCAATCTTTCATTTGTTTATTGCATATATACACACACACACACACACACAACACTCACACACAGTATGGACATAAGAATAAACACTTAATGATGACTGGCATGCTTCAAGTGATCTTCAGACCATGTAATCCTTTTGCATGCTCTCTATATAGGCCACTGGAAAAGAGTAGTGACAAATGGTCTGTTGTTGTATTGATTCCTATGTCCACACTGTCTATATTTACAAATACCCTCTTCAATATTTTCATAAATATAGCAAATCTTAAACAATATATATATATATGTATATGTAAAATTATAAAATACCTTAGCTACTCAAGTTTCATCCCTATGCTCAGGGGTCATCAGGCCAGGTTATATTTTGATAATTATAAATTACCCAGCAGCTTCTATGTTTAAATATGTAATATTTAAATATGGCCTGATGATCATAGGGGAGAAACTTGATTAGCTAAGGTATTTTCTTTTATATTTTATTTTAAGCTTGACATAGTATTGAGCACTTTTACTGCACTTGTAGAAAATTTAGCAGTTACTAACTATAAGTGTGTTTAAATTATATATATATATTTCAGAGAGAGAGAGAGAGAGTCGGGGTGAGGTGTAGGCCTTTTGAATCCAATGACAGATGAGTTCAAGAATTTCTCAAGACTCATACGTCCAAGACGTACGAGTTTTGCAATCAGTTTGCACTTGAAGTCAACAAAAAGCATTCTCGTGTAAACCCCCCCCACCATTTTCTTGAGGTGGGTCAGTGCAGCATGAAGAGCAATAGTAATGGCATCTTCTGTTGATCTATTTGCTCTATGCAACCTGGTATTGATCAAAAGTAGCTGACAGACTTGTCTTGATGTGCCACAGGACCAATCTCTCAAAGCACTTCAAAGCAGTCAGTGTAAGTGTGACTAGTCGATAATTGCTGGGCCCATTAATAACTGTTTTTTTTTTTTTTCGGCAAGGGCATGATGGTGACTGACAAAAATGAGCAACTAAAATACAACTATCAACATAAGACAAATATTCGTGGGCAATACCAAAATACTATATGGCACTCAATTGAAGGAAAGACTCAAAAACTTAGAAGCTATTATTATAATAATTAAACAGCCCATATTAAATAGAATATCATTCACCACAGGGAACTGTATATAATATAATTACTATGTTCTTATCTATATATATATATATATATATATATATATATATGTATGCACTATGGCTATTTTCATGGTAAGTGTTCAGAATTTCTTTATAGGTAAATTCAATCATGCATATGTAATATACTGAAGTAGCATTGACTATATAGATAGATAGTAGTAAAACCACAAGAGGCTAGTGACCCTATTAAAGTGGAACAGTCCATCTGGGATGGAATTGGAGGTTTAAATATTTCATTCTCCCCATATATCAGTGAACATTGAAGTCAACACTCACATGTGACAGACTGTTTCATGCTAAACGTAATCATCAGATCTGAGTGTTGACTTTTATGTTTACATATGCTCTATCTCTGAGCACTTTATCCCATAAATATAGCATATCTTAAAACTGTATTTCTTCATATATATATATATATATATTTTATTTTATTTTATTTTATTTTTTTTGATGTTTCATCGCCCATGTAATGGAGACACTTTTGACGCTCTCGAATAGATGGCTGCACTGGTACAGGTGTAGATTGCTGTATTACAGGTAGGGTCTGTCTCAACTCTGAAGGCACAAGAGAAGGCAATTAGTTTCGATCACAAGCTCAGCTGGTGGTGTGGGTATTCAGAGACAGGAGATAGCCATTTCTTAGAACTTGAATCTAAATTCACTTCAGTTTAACAGTTTTGGAGCCGATCTTCCCTGACAGAAGCTAAGTCACAAACAGAGACAGTTGCTTCTTGTCCATCACCAATTTGTACGTGAGTGTATTGAGGATTAGTCTCAATTAAATCTGCTTCATCCACTAGTGGGTCATGCTTACAATTATGAATATAGTGACACAATAAGACAGGGTCAGGGATGGTTAACCAAGTGGGTAGGGAATGTCCACTGGGGGATTGGCATTGGTGTTGGAATAGTCTCTCATGGCGAGTAGTGTTGGTGGCAATGAACAGCAGTGATCTGATTCAATACAGTACTTCCGGTAATACCATTTCCCACTGTGAGGTCCCAAAATTTCTGGAAGCTAATGCCAGGATAATAACTTTCCATATTTTACATTTCCTCATTGATTAAAGGGAATAGTCTGGCTACTTGCAATGTCAAGGTTAGCCAGGTCTGGATGGATGTAAGAAGGGGTCCCAAACACTGAAAATTTGGTTGACATTTCATAACCAAGCCAGTGATAAAATCCAGACAGGCGAATATTCATCCACAATAGTCAGTAGATAGATAACAGTTCCTAGAGGAGGAGGGAAGTGGCCATTTGAAGTCTATGCTAAGTCACTTCATAGCTTGAGTAGCTTTAATGAGAATGGTAGAATCTGAAGAGTAAAATCTATGCTTCAAGCAAGCACACTCAGGGCACTCTTGATATACATTTCATATTTTTTCGATGGAGTATGGCAAATTTCTTATTTTGATGAAATGGGTGAACCTTGTTGCACCAGGGTGACAAAAGCGAACATGTAGCTCCTGCAATTTCTTATCACCAATAAGTGGCTCCACAGTGAGCACGAGAGAGTACGTCTGCAAGAATGTTGTTTTTGCCAGGTCATTATACGATGTCATAATCGTAACACCCGAATTCCGTTCACCGCTGTTGGATTTTGTCATTACAAAGTCTTTTTGAATTAAATATATAGTTTACAGCTTGCTGATCAGCAAGGATAGTAAAACACCTCACAGTTAAGAGGTGAGACCATTTTCAAACTGCTTCTTTGTGAGGTCAAAATTCTTTCTCAACAGCAGAGTGCTTATGTTCAGTACGAGAGAGGATCCTTGAAAAGAAGGCAACCGGTTGGCCTGCTTGATTCAGTGCCATATAAGTGGCATTGGATTTGACAATTAAGGGAAGGTTTTCATCAATAGAATGTAATAGGGCCTTTTCAATCTCCTCTTTAAGAACATTGAATGCTTTCTCAGAATCAGAGTTGCGAGGGAATGTAGTAGTTGTTATTAAGGGTTAAATTCAGTCAGAGCATTTTGGTACTCATTGGGAATAATAAGAAAATAGGCTGATTACTTGCTGTAATGCTGCCTTATCAGGAGGGATTGGAACACTCTTAAGGGACGTAAATATTCCAGGTAAGGTCTAATTGATCTTTGGCTGATCAGATAGCAGAGGCAGGGTGACAATGTCAGCTGCCAAAGTGCTTTTTTTTCTTGTTCAGGGTTAAATCATACTTTTGAACAAGCCTCCTGACTTTATTTAAGTTGATATCATGCTCGTCCCTTGTTTTACCACAGACTGTTACATTATCCACATGTAGCAGAAAGTCCTTCAGAAAAGATAAGTTTGTTTATTATTCTCTGAAAGGAAGCCACTTTGTTGGTAACGCCAAAAGGTATTTGACAGAACTGATATAGGTGATCATCAGCTTTGAAGACAGTAAACTTTTTCTCAGTGTCCTTAATCAGTACTTGGTAAGCTCTTCAAATCCAAGTTACTGAAGTAGCAATGCTTTCCCACTTCATGTACTACATCATTTATTCAAGGAAGGGGAAATGCGTCCAATAATGTATACCGATTTATTGTTTGTGAATAGTCTACCACTATTCTTTGTTTATGATTAGCTCCTGAAGTGACCAGAACTTAAGCTATCTAAGGGGAGTCGCTTGGTTCTATGACTCCTACTCGTAACAATCGCTTTGTTTCCAAAGCAATGAAGATTTTATCAGTATCTGAAAAGAACCAGGTTGTTGTACGACATGATGATTTATGAAGCTTTCAGTACTCCCTGTGTCTATCAAGGCATTGGATGGAATATTATTAATCCTAGCATCCATAATGTGGATGCTCGGATTAATAATATTCCATCCAATGCCTTGATAGATAAATATGTGGCCTCATTAATCAAAGCCATTTTTAGGGTGGCTGTCTATTGGCTAGATTTATATACTTTAGTGTAGTGGCCTTTTTACTGTACTCTGGGTTGATATGTCCACAGCTACAATGTTGTCACACTTATTTAGAGGATGTTCATTAACAGATGCATTTACATATAGGATAAGGATTGCTTGGTAGCACTTTCTAGGGCCACAGCCTGGTCATATGCTGTGTTTAAGTATAGTGACCTATTCTTGAAGAGTCTTGTTTGTATATTAGTAGACAGTAGTCTGTTTATGAAGCCGTCCCTGATATACTCATCACAGTTACTCTGATGTCACAAGTTTAAATCTTAAGTCTTTGCTAATGAAACAGAGAGCTTGTAAATACTGGTCAAGACTCTCGTTTTCTGGTTCCTAGTTATAAGGACATGGTGGGCAAAAACTTTGCTCTTTGGTTTGACATAAATTTTCTCAAGCTCATCCATAGCGTCTTTGTATGTAAGAAGGTTGTCGGTTACTCATGTACTGAAGGTTCTATGTAATTGATTAACAATTTTAGTTTCATTGAGTTGTCTAAGCTTTCATCTGTTAGAGATGAAAGGAAATTTGCAAAGGTCTTTCTCCAGTGTAGCCATTCTTTACCAGCCATACTACTAGCCGGATTAGTAGAGAAATATCTTGGTTTCAGCAGTCTTTCCATGATGGTAATATTTTTTTTTCTTAAAAAAGTTCTGGTTAGGCAAATAAATTGTAGTAAAACCACAAGAGGCTAGTGACCTTATTAAAGGCTTTATTTGCCTCACAAAGAATATAGAAAGTAAAAAAGAAATGTATAGAACAGTCCATTTGATTAAACTCCATTTTCTTCAAATCCTATGATGATTTAAAATTTAACATTGAGGTAAAAACTCATCATGGGATTTATAAAATAAATGAACTTTTATTCTTAACAATGACTGAAGTCAGTTGAAAGTTTGAAATAGTTAAATAAACTGATTGGAACTCTGAACAACTTGATCGTATTTTAATTTTAATATATGTAAACTATTTTAAAATATAGGCAGAATTTGTCTATTCTCATTAACAGAACATCTGTGTGTGTGCGTGTGTGTGTGTACACGTCACTACATATAATTTTTCTTGTTACAGGTAAAGTTAGTAACTGGCTTGTACCATGGACCAGACATCTTGTGTGCTGCAGCTAAAACTGAGGAAACTCTTCTTTATGATCAAAGTTGTACGTGGAACAGCAATCTAAATTTTGATCACCTCATCAAAGATTTACCAGAAATGACAAGAGTTTGTTTCATGTTAATGGCTGTTGGTGGTGTCAAAAAGAAGCAAAAAGTAAGTAACATCAAAGTTTCAGGATTGTATTTGAGAGTTCTGTTTGGGGATTTTTTCAAATTGTTTGTTTCAAACTTTTGTTTGCAATGTTGGCATCTTCTATATGTTGTGTCCCTTTAAGATGTTGGCAATCATGGTTCTCCACAATTTCCTGTCCTTTGTAGCGCTTAAATTTTATCTTTTTGTTATCTCTCCTAAACCCTGTTCTGCCATCCATTTAATCAAGCTTGCTAGGTTACGCATTGTTTTCCTCGGTCCCACTTGCCCTCAATCTGTTACATGAGCATCAAATTTTCCAAGTTCTCTTCATTACTATCTCTTTCTGGTAAGGTCCTTTTTGTTTCCATTTTCATAAAACTTTGTTGATGCTCACATGTTCAGTCCATTGTATTCTCAGCATCCTTCTGTAGAATCTTGTTTGTTGTCTCAAGTCTCTTTTTCATCTGAGAGGAGATTGGTCAGCATTCACTACTATATGGGAGGACTGATGTTACATAACACTTCAGTATGTTTTAAATTATTAGAAGTAATCTGTAATGAAATATTAATAATAAATAAAGGATCAGCTTTTAAAATGTTATTTGCAAGATGATACTAATTAATTTTAAATTAATTTTAGTTTAATAAATTTAAGCCTTTTGGTAGTATTTATATATATATATATATATATATATATATATATATATATATATATATATACACGCTGTTATAATTAATAATATTTGTTAAGTTTTCAAAAATATAATTTAAAAAATGTCAACATTACTTCCTACTATACATTTGTTGCTTGCCTTTACTCTCAGACTGTGATTTAAATGCTAAGATAGTTTATTGACCGGAAATTATAACTAAGTAATTATAAAAGTGTAATCACTTATTTGTAATAATTACAAAAACCATTGATTAATAATTATTTTGAAACATAAATATGCAAATTAGATTTCTCCATTTAAGCAAGAAGTTGGGCAGGTATGGACTAAACAGGTTATTCTGCTTTTGTCATTACATGTCATCAGGAACATTTAATTTTTTTATATATATATATATATATATATATATATATATATATATATAAGTAAAAAATTAAATGTTCCTGATGACGTGGGTTGGTAAACAGTGACTATTATAGCTAATATAGCGAGACGAGTCACTGTCAGTCACTGGGCATGTTTACAAAAATAAATACGCTAAAAATCCACCTCCATTCCTACCGTGCGCCGACGGCTTAGTGGTTAGAAGCTCCGACTGACACCAATTCAGTCGGGTTTCGATCCTAGCTAGAGGCAACCGGATGTCTAGCCGCACTGATGAGCTGTAAACAGCGAAACAGTCTGTCTGTGGATGACATTATATATATATATATATATATATATATATATATATATATATATTTATGAATGACAGGTTGGAAGGAAGACCTCCAGAGATTTAAGTAATTGATTCAACCAAGTACTGCTTCTAATAAATCTGTTTAAAGGCAGTGGTCAGTGTCTGGAATTAGTTCTGAAAAAGGATGTAACAAGATTAAGCTTGACCACTTGTTTCTTTGATGACTAAGCAAAAAATGTCTTAGATATTGGACACTCAGATTACTATATTTTTTTTTTTTTTTTTTGTAGTTTTTACAAAATTCTTTAAAAAGAAAAATTCAGTTCCTTGTAAGATTGCAAAAGCATTTCTTTGCTTAAAAAAAATAAAAGTTTTGGGAGCAGAGAATCCTAATATTGCCAGAAATATATTAGATATTAATGGTGAATGTTAAAAACAAAAAAATTGTCTATTATTTCTGCTTAATAAACCAAATGAGCTTTTTAGCTAATTCGTTACTGAAACCAAATTGTAAATGGATCTTTGATTTTTATTTATTTTATTTTTCTGGCTAAAATAAATTCTATTCATTTTTGTTGCCAAGAGGATGAAAAAGACTCTTAAAGACATGATTGTAATTGATATTTGATTAACAGGAACTGTAATCTTAAGTTTTCTCTCTTGTCAACAGTTTTAGGTTCATTAGCAGATACTGTGTAAGAATTTCTTGAGAATTTTAAATTTTGAATGTTGTCAAAGAAACTTTTTGCTTGGACAATTCTATTTTCATTATCAACCATTTTATTTTATTACTTTATTATTAGATTCCTTTTCTCTCAACGCTTTTGTCTATTTTATACTATTTTCTGAATTTTTATTTATATCTACAAATAGACAGCAAAAGTTACTTGCATTTTTAATGCCTTCAGGTTGATTTGAATAAAAAAATATTGTAATATTTACCAGATTAGCAATAACACTTGTTTATTAATTGACTAGCAGTAGAGCCCGGCGTTGCCTGGGGATATAACAGTAAGAGATAGATTAAGTATCCACTATCATAAAGACTGAAAAATAAAATTGACAAAGATTATTGTTTAAGGTTGACGGACATGCATGTCTTAATTAGTTTTTTTTTTGTTTTTTTTACGAATTGATTAAACCCAAACTCAAGCAAAAACATTGTTTTCAATCGTTATGAGTCTGTACTGATTGAATAGAATTTTATTATAAACGATAGTCTTGTAAATGGAATTTTTAAAGCATTCTGAATGTAAAAATAAAGAAAAAAGTGTGCAAGACAATAAGAAACACTACATGCCAAAAACAAAAGTGAAGTTTTGTTGAAATCAGTTGAAAAATGTAGGTAGCCTTTCTGTAATCTTTTAGTTTTACAATTTATGATTTTTACTTATTGAATACAGTAAAAAAAATTGCATATTTTACTTGTGGTGATTCATAATTAGAATTCTGATTTGAATATATTTTCCACTCGTTGTTTCTAATACAAAAAATATTAACTTTATTTGGGTTTATTAATTATGATCTAACAAATCTTATTCATTTAGTAGCCTTTCTTTAATAATAATCTTTTACAATTTATAATTTTTACTTATTGAATACAGTAAAAAAAAATTGGACACCATGTGTATTTAAAGTAGTTTCTGGTTATTATTTTTAGTTAGGAGGACTTGTGTATGTTTAGATTTCATTATCTTTCCCTAAAGATAAAGAATTATCCGATGTTTGGATTCGTACAATCAGTAGAGATCATTAGATTATTGTTTAAGATTGACGGACATGCATGTCTTAATTAGTTTTTTTTTTTTTTACGAATTGGTCAAACCCAAACTCAAACAAAAACATTGTTTTCAATCGTTATGAGTCTCCCGATTGAATAGAATTTTATTATAAACAATTGTCTTGTAAATGGAATTTTTAAAGCATTCTGAATATTAAAAATAAAGAAAAAAGTGTGCAAGAGAATAAGAAACACTACCTGCCAAAAAAAAAGTGAATTTTTGTTTTATTGGCTGAAAAATGTAGGAAATTCGATCACATATATAAAGGAACACACACAAACAACCTGGGTTTTTAAACTGATGTGAGTTGTCCCCCTTTTATTCTCACGATGTCTCTTAATCATGTTTTCAAATTGATTTTGTGCAAAAACAATTGTATTTTTACCATTTTTGGTGCTGTTAGAACCACCACAAGGTAATTTTATGTAGTCTTGTGAAGTTTTGTTGAAATCAGTTGAAAAATGTAGGAAATCCGATCCAATATATAAACGTTACAGACACACACACAATCTGCATTTTATAATAAGTAAGATTATATGCAAACAATCCTTAATACTTTTCTTTATACTTAGATCAGGGTTTTATACAAATATTTTAGCATATATATATATGTATTGTCATCCACAGACAGACTGTTTCACTGTTTTTTTTTGTTTTTTTTTTTAAATTTCTGAATTTATATCTACACACTATCTGAGTTGAAAAATGCCAACGTAGTAACGTTTGGTTGAAATAGCTATTCTAATGAGGTAGTTTTGGATTTCTCTATTATCCAACTTATAGGCAACTTATATGCTCTGTTATAATAAATACATTGAGCTCTTTTTATAGATCAGTTTTAATATTTTATATTATTAGGATTCACTTGAATTATGTATCACCATGGAATTTAGTGAGTAGTAGAGCTATATCTAGTCTAGTCAGTTTCTTTTTTGTCACCAAGACCTGTTGGTCCAGTGGTATGATGTATCGTGACAGTCTGGGTTTGATACTTGGTAGTGGATGCACACTGCTGATGAGTCCTAAATAGGATGGAATGGTTCTCCAGTGCTTTCTGCATTCTAATGAGGATTCTTCTAGACTCGATGAATATATATATATATATATATATATATATATATATATATATATATTACACACAGTCCATAATTAGAAATCAAAACTTTATAATGGCTGGTAGTTTCATACATTAAGTAATCATCTTAATTATATTTTAGTTTTATTTACTTATGTTACATATTCTTTTTAATAAGCAGTTTAGGATTTGGGCCAGTACATGTGTTATTAATTTTTATGCAAGAATTTGTACTAAAGTTACTTAACTAGTAAATTATTTTTTTTTGCTTGGGTTTAATAAATAGGAAAGAAAGACATATCATTTTAACTAAACTACTAGAATAATTTATTTAGTAAATCTTTTTGTTTAATGCAGTAATTTATTTTCTATTACTTAAACCACACTGACATCAGTAGTGAGTTACTTAGATTTAGTCACATTTGACTATAGTTGCTTGTAAAAAATCATGTATTTTTTATTTTTAAATTTGTATTTCGTTCTAAAGTTTGGCATTTGCTTTCAAAGAAAATTTTAGATTATAGCAATGATTCCCAACATGGGGTGCATACCAATATTTTGGTGGGGCAAGTGTAGGATGTGCACCCTTCAGCTTACTATACCAACAGAATAGTTATTAACAGTGAATTGTTTTCTAGTGAGTCTGAGTGAGAGTGCTAATATTAATGCATGTTAATACATACAATGCATATACATTATGCATACATAAAAATATTTTGCGTGTATGTATATACATGTGTAATTGGCATACAGGGTATTTCTCTTCTCCTCCACACTCGGGTGTCTCTGTCAACAAAGGAGAGAGCGTGATGCATGTCACTGGAAGAGCCCATATTTTGTTGACCAATCAGCGTATGTGAGCATTCAGTTTGCTTCCTTCACGTGAATTGCAGTAAAATTTTAAATATGTAAGAATTAAAGATTACAGAGAGGCACCAGGATTTCAGAAATACCAAAGCAGGGCATGTCCCAAAATTGGTTGGAACCACTGGATTATAGGTTATTATTTGTCTAATTTTCGGAGTTGTAATGTGGTTGTGCATCAGTCATTCCTCTTACATTAATGACACAAAGCCATGATAGTACTGGATCTATTGAGAATTGAATTAAATTAATGAAAAATCTGGAAGTTTATCTCATTGTCTACTACAGTATGCCAAGTAATTATGTCTGTAAATATTTTACATATATAGACATATCTATTTAGCTTAAGAGCATTATTACATTTTTATTGTAATATAAGGGTTCACATTTCAAGTGATGTGCATTTGTATGTATATTTTTATGTCCGTTTCTGTCTGTGTAAGCCTGAATTGACATTGTAAATATTTATCTCTTTCATTCCATCACCTGAAACTTCACCAGGATACCACGCCATTAGCTTGGGTGAATATTTCATTATTTGACTTTCGGTCTCAGCTTCGCCAGGGAGAGTACGAATTATACATGTGGTCAGTTACAGAGGATGAGTCTATTCCAGAAGAGGAATCTTGTTTTCCCATTGGTAAGTAAATCTTTAATTGGTTCTGGCCAAAGCATTTAGCATTCAATATAGAAATCATTACAATTAGTACTTTGACCATTGCAGGTTTTGTTTGGGAAATTGATCTCTATGTAGTGTTGTTGTTTTTTTGCTGTGTTTTGCCTGCTCAAGTCTATAAACTTCCTTGATATTTTGTAAAGAAAATGTATATTTATACCTGACAAAATGGCTGCTAATATACAATCTGTTTGCTAATAGCAACCATCTTGTATTTAAAAAAGGAAAATATAGAAAAGGACTCCATATTTTTAATGACTTATTCACCTAAAAATTGTAGTAACACAAGATTCCAGATATTGAAACAAAACTTTGAATGTTAATGACTCTTCCTCTAACTTCTAGAGAATAAAATATAATGTATCATTTTCAAGTGTATATTGCAAGATAGTCTGGAAAATCTCATTTATTGTTGTGATCCCCATTCTGCCACAAGAGTAGTAGATATGTTTGCCTATTGTCCATCATTCTGGGTATGATGACAAACTACATCCGCATACTGGGTAAGACAATAAACTACGTCCAGCAGAAAGGCCTCTGATCAGGAGGTTTTGAGGAGCGTGGAACCACCTCTTAATTGCTGATGTTCTGAGGTACACCCTGACCCAGGGTGGTAGCACCTGTTAGGGTCCCAGCTATGGGCAAATAGTTAACTCCTAAACTGGGGTAAAAACACTATAAAAGTGTAAAAATAGGTTTTAATACCAGAAATACTTTAAAAATGGTAACAAGATTGAAATCTTGCACATATGCTTAGACATCAATAATTTTAAAGAACTTGAAAATGGTAACAAGACTGAACATACACTTTTACAATATCTAAAATAAATTGTATTAACAATTTGTAATTTTTTTTTGTGCAAGATTTTCATGATGGATCTGTTTTTCTCTGATGAAATTGATGACATATGAATGTGTTTGAAAGTTCACTTCATTTTTGTTCTCTCATTTTACTTTTAATATTCAACAACTTGAACTGATTCACTCTAATGGCCAAATTGATGACTATTCATCTGTCAGTAGATAATAATTCTCTTGCTTGTATTACTTTTAAAATTCAGTTGGTATGTGAGGATTTGCATATTGAAAGCTTGGCATATTTCATGTAAAGATCTCTTGAGAACTGACTTTTGTCCAACGTAAATCTTTTTTTTTGTAGGCCAGTATAGTCTACACCCATGCAATATATTCTTTCTCCCTTTTTCTTTGTCTCCCTCTCCCTTTCTTTGTCTCCCTCCCTTTCCTTTCCCTTTGTCTCCCTCTCCCCTTTCTTTGTCTCCCTTCCCTTTGTCTCCCTCTCCTTTCTTTCTCCCTCTCCTCATCTATCTATCTATCCTCATTCTCGGCCTTGCCTTTGCCTATTTTTCAAATCTAATGAACTGACTAAACATCAGAATTTTCATGGTTAAGTTTTTCAGTATCTCTATGTGCTACACACACACACACACACACATCTATCTATCTATCTATCTATATATATATATATATATATATATATATATATATATATATATATATATAAATTCAAGTGCCCTTTGGGAGAGTGTATCTCCAATCTAATTAAATAATATTTATGTTGGTCACACCACAAAACTCCTTTTCACGACGCTTGACACTACATTTTAATGAAAACTCTAACATTTTAGGCATTTAAAACAACATGCCTGCCCGCACACACAATTCCGTAAAATACTTGTCGAAAACACAACTATACTTCGACATGAAAACAATAGACAAAACTAAAAATACTTGAAGCATTATACATCAAACAGTTAAAACCCAACCTAAACAAAATCAACTATGGAATCTCTACAAATATTCTTAAATGTCTATAATTTCTATAATTGGTAACAGAAGCCATTGGTTTATACCAATGGCTTTCCTTATTTCATTCTCCAATTCACTCTCGTAGTCATGTGTGACGTCATGAGATGCGGTCGATTTTTCGCTTTTAGCATCTTATATGCGGCGTGTTCATCGTTGTTAGTGATCCACTATGTAAACTAAACAATGACAGACTATCATCACTGCCCCGTGTCCGTATATTGTTTGATATGTTTGTAATTACATCTTTGATAATGGCTTGAGTAAGCCGAAAGCTTAGATTACATTAAAAAATAATGGATAAATATTGTGAATTTCTTTTTTCGGTTAATGATAATGTTATCAAACTTATCAGAAGATACGAAATAATTTTACATAAAATAAATAGACAACACTTGTCTATATTATTTAATGAAACGTGTATATATATATATATATATATATATATATATATATATAAAATTACTTCAGTTGTTACTTTTAGTGGATACTCATACTTGAGTAGATACTCTATCTATTTATTAAACAGTATATTTATTTATTTTTTTGTCCATTAGATGATAATTAATAAATAAACAGTCTACTCAAATACAGGTATTGACTAAAAATAATGTTTAAAGTGATAAAATCTGTTGGGTTAATAAATAAAAATTCATTATTTCTTTAGAAATGTACATATATTCACACACACACACACTTAGTTATTAGGATATTTCTGCTTTTTGTCTTGGCCATTGATGTGTTGTGAGTTAAGATCTTTCCGAGTTTGCATCATCTCAGATTTTGTAAATACTTGTCTACAGCAATTTTATTTTTATTTTCTTTTTTCATTTGCTTGTAAAATCAATATTTTTGCAGAGATCTATGACTCACTTTTCCTTTTATCTTATAACAAATCTCTTTTCATTATTCCAACACGTCATATCTCCTCTTTTCTGATATATCACATGATTTTTCTTCCAAATAGAATTCTCGACCGAAGTATAAAAAAAACCCAAACTTTTGTGTGTCTAGACTTTTTAGTGCAACCATCTCTATTTCTTTTCAAAAAGCTTTTTTGGTCGACATTGCTTGTATAATTTTAACCTTCAATGGCATATATATAATTGTTTTTCTTTCATTAATATTAAGCAAATGTTTTTGTTTATCCGTAATTCATCATTTACAATCCCAAACAATGTTTTTGTCATGCAACCAAGAATTAGAAGCAACATTCAGTTATAAGAATTGACTTTTTTTTTTATCAATATTTTACTTTATTTTCTAATTTCAATATTAATTTCTTTTTATTTTCCACAGCTTCCTGAAAGTTTTTTCTTTTCTTTTTTTAATCATTCAAGAGATTTAGTTAAAATCAGTTTGTATGACATGACAGTGAAATAAAAAAATGTTATTGGTAGTATTAGTATCCATGGAAGTATTCACATTATTATTGGCAGTACAGAAAATTGTGCAAACATTTTGTTAAAAATAATAAAAATAGTCAAAACTTAAAAAAAAAAAAAAAAATTGAAAAACTTAAAAATGTTATAATAATAAAAGCAGAATTTGTACATTTTAATTTGCTATTAAAATTTCTCAAGGTACAGTTCAGTGGTATTATTGCTATGATGAAAAATAATATGATAGTAAATCTCCTTGGATGATAGCATTTCTTTTATGTTGACCTTGATCGTGGTTGTCCTCCTGCAGTGACTCTTCTACTCTTGTTATTGATTGTATTTACTATCGTTAATTTCATCACCTGCATTGAAAAGTTTAACCAATTTAAGGATTCCAATATTTAAAGATTTATGTTGTAATGTAAGCAAAGAGTCTGTTGAAATTGGTGGGGGGGAAACACCTAACTGATTGCTTTCCCAACCACTACGAGAATAACAGGGAGAGAGGGGAAAGAGACAGGAGGTAACAACCCCCCCAAAAAAAAAAACTCAAAATAACACTGCCTTGGAAACCACAGCAACTTTAGGAACAAGTCCTATGGGACTGATTTCACAATGTATCTTGCCAATTGCTGTTTTCCTACAGCTTTTTTTTTTTTTTTTTTTTGGCATAAGGCAACCTGGATCTTGACCAGTTGCGGAGAGGCCCATATATAGCTAAACATGCTAAACTGTCCTGCTGCTAACGGGAAAACTCTTGTGTTGACAAACATGTCTGCATGCAATCTGAGGCCACTTTTGTATCTGTTCACCACAATTTATCATTGCCATTTTTATAATCTATGCCTTGTTTTAACTTTGATTGAAAGTTTGAAAGTAAAGAAAGTCAGAAGATAAATATCAGGAACTTGATTGAGAACTGGAAATTCTGGATTATTTGTTATTAAGAGAAGATATCACTGACATACTTAAAATGAGGCAAAAAAGTTGATACTTATTCATTGGCTTGTCATTCTTGACTGTTGATGCCATCAAATCGTAAGATTTGGTGGCATGTAATTGACACAGATTTGTATTGCAGTTTAAATAGTTGCTTATTTCTAACGCCAAATGTTTCCTTATAAGGAATGAATGCAGATTTTTAAGGTAAACAGATCCTTTCCACTTTGGTAGGCTGGTCCAATACAATCACCCAAGGTCCATTTCTTTCCATATTTGGCTTTCTGCCAAGTAACTTTCAGATCTGATCTAGTGATACTCACCTGGGATATGAAAAAGTCAAAAGAGAATGTTGAAAATTTATATTTTAATATAATAGTTAACTAAATGTTTATGGAATTGCTGGAAATAGTTCCAAAAATTCTTTTGAAAAGATTGGAATAATTTGGGAGAGTTGAGTACAAAGAATAGAAGTATGGAGGACAGATAGGATACTGAGGAGGACTGAAGTCACTCAGATATATTATTGAAAAGTTTTAGCTTTTGTGCAATTAAGCCATTTATTAATTCTTGTTTTCTTTACTAAAACAATAAGAGTTGTTTCCTTCTATCTTCTTCCTGTTCTATTATTTTAATAATTTTAATGGATAAAATATGTTTAATTTTTCAGGAACAGTCACTCCTAATCCAGCAGGCAAGAATGCTACAACACTCACGATAGGTTTTCCTAGTTACAATGCAAAGGAGAAAATCATTTATCCACCCAAAGAAGTTGTAAGTCCAATATTTTATTTCTACTTTTGTTATATGATTTTATATGATATAATGTGACAGTAAGATTTTAAAATTTACTTCATTTACAAAGGATTTTTGAGAAAGAAAAGACTGAGTGAATGATTGTATAAAACTATTAACAGTAACCTGTTAGGGTCCCAGCTATGGGCAAATAGTTAACTATTACCAGCAATACTTTTTTGAAAGAAATTATTACCAGCAATACAATTATGAAGGAAAAATATTACCTTTGACAAAACAAAATATTACCACCAATATAAAATGTTGTCGGCATTAAATAACCCATTGAGGTGTTGATATGTCGCAAAACAAAATAAACCAAAGAATACATATTCTATTCATACGAATCTATCCTAAAAATGTTGTCGGCATTAAATAACCCATTGAGGTTGATATGCCATTAAACAAAATAAATCAAACCAATCAAGGATCTACCCGATAGAAAGGACTTACTAATTGTGTAGTAACCCCTTATGACACGCCTTGTCAAAGGCCTTTGAGATATCTGAGGTAATTATTCTTGTGATGAATTTATTATTGAATGCCTCATTGATTCTGTGTGTAACAACAGTTAAGAAATCAGCAGTGGACCTAAAAGAGTGAAATTCATACTGCTCGTCACACAGAAGGTTGCTGCAATTGAGGTGATCAACAACTTTTTGTTGTTTATAGACTCAGTTTGTTGATGGCACTAAGGAGGTGAATGAGTCAGTGTTGTGACAGCAATAAGCACCCCCCTTTGTATTCTTGAAGACAGAGCATACTGCTGACACTTTCCATATACTTGGGAAAATTGTAGTGGAAACAAAATGCAGACTGAGGTGCCTACCACCACTGATAACAGTACCTGCCCCTGTCGGTCATAGAAACAATGTCTTTAGTCTCTTCAAAAATGACTGCTCTTCCAGAACAGAGCTGGTGCAAACACTGGGAAGTCTGGATATGAATAAAATAAAATATCTCCCAGCTCCTCATACAAAATAGTCAGGATGGTGAGCTGGGCAGTGTTTTGTAAATGATTCATTTTACTAGCCAACTGCTAATGTTTTGGGCTCAATAACAGTGTAGACATTTCTGAGAAGTAGCAATGGGCAGTGTGCTGTGCTGTATGATGTGATTGCAGTGCATTACTGAGGATTTCTGTTTTGAGTTAAAGTAGGTGTCTTACTCAGTGTCATGTGAAATTTGTCTTTGCTTGTGTTTCCCGTGTCTTGGCTATGTTTGTCTCATATGTGTGGAAGACCTGTTCATGAACTGCTTGTCTTGATCCTGTATTCAGCTTTTTTCATGTTTGTTTCTGGTGCTGCTAATTTTTCCACCTATCCTGAGCTGTGAGACATCTATTCATTGGGATACCCCAACTGATAAGGAAAGAAAAAAAAATCATCTGAAACATTTTTCCATCAGGCAGTGGTTTACCAACTTTACCAAGACTGGACTATAGCTTGTAACAATCATAGGGATTTTATCTGGAACAGTAGCCTTTGTAGAATCCAGGCTTTTGATGAATTTGGAAACTTCCTCAATTATATCACAATTTTTCTGTTACCATAGATTGCAAAAAGAGTAAAGTTTAAAATTCTTGCAAGATTAGCAACTATGACAAGCACTTGAAGGTTAGAGATTGTCTGAAATGCTGTGACTTCAAAGAGACAGCTAGACTTGCTTAATGGAAAAGTTGCATATGTAAAAAGGGCGCATGGTTGAGTGGCTATAACGTTTGCTTTCTGACCATGAGATCTGGGTTCGAATCTCACCATGGTCAATTTGTCAGGAAGGTGAATTCTTGATGGTATCAGTCTGGGGGAGGCGATCCCAGCATGCGGCACCTTTGGAAAGTGCCTAAAAACCATACAAGCGGAATTGGATAGATGGAACTCTTTTGATGTCATCGATGGTGGTTGTACTAGCATAAAGTCACAAGTCATCGTGGCCAAGGGTTTGAGTGTGCTGGCCTTGTTCAGATTGTTGATCACAGTAGATAACACACACTCTCTCCTAGAAACTGTAATCAAAGTCCGCTCAGCATAGTTGCAGTATAAACTACAGGTGGTCTCTGTGGGTGCCTGATCAAGTGTCTGCAACAGGGATTGGCTACCTGCCCTAGTAGATGGGCAATCTTGGATGTGAGTTGCCAGCCATTATTGTATGTAAAAAAAAAAAAAAAATTTAGATGTTCCACATCTGCAAGTCAGAAACAAAATTTTTATTTTTTTATTTTTTTTTATTTTTTTAAAAATAAAATTCTTCTAATGGCACTTGATTCATTGGTGAAACATGTAAAAAATGTTTTTTAAACTGTCATATATATATATATATATATATATATATATATATATATATATATATATGTGTGTGTGTGATTATATTGCTCATCACATGTTTTTGCGTTTTTTTTTTATATGTAGGTAGACATATGATTGTCTTGCTGATGTATACTTCATCTATAATTTTTTGAATTAATATCTTTAATATTATTATCTATACATTAATTTACTTATATTTTTTATCTATTATTATTCTTTATTAAAAAATCCTTCTAATTTACATATTTTAAAAAATTCATTTACGTTTCATATTATTATTTTTTTTATTAATTTGAAATTGTGTTGATTTATCCTGCTTAAAATAACAAGCCATATCGATTTTTTTTTTTTCATTTTGTTAAAAAAAAAAAAAAATCCTGTAAATATTAACAAATTTTGATGCATACAAGAATATTGTTAATGTCTGTTAGTTTCAGTGATTTACAAATTATGCAACATTCAACACCACCAGAACTTTTTCATTACAATTTTAACTTGGAAGACATGATTTTAATAAAAGAGAAATATAATATACTCAGATGTTGATATATTACAAGTGTTATGATCTACAAGTCTCCAACAATTAATATTTGACTGGAATTTGTCACCTGTCCTTATTAAATTAGTACTGAAATAATGTGGGGTATGTAAATCTTGAGATAAATGAATAAAAATAGAAACAGAGTTGAAATTAATTATAATCTAATTTCTATAATGATGCTTTTAAATTAAAACATCAAGGGCTCACATAGTTAATGTGAATCGTTTTTTTTTTTTTTCTTGTGAATGTACATTTTGTTGAAAGAAAAAAAGTTCTAATGGAACTTGATTCATTTTAAACAGATATCTTTCTACTTAACATATTAATTGACTAGCAGTAGAGCCCAGCGTTGCCTGGGGATATAACAATAAGAGATAGATTAAGTATCCACTATCATAAAGACTGAAAATAAAATTGACAAAGATTATTGTTTAGGTTGGCGGACATGCATGTCTTAATTAGTTTTTTTTTTTTTTACGAATTGATTAAACCCAAACTCAAACAAAAACATTGTTTTCAATCGTTATGAGTCTGTACTGATTGAATAGAATTTTATTATAAACGATAGTCTTGTAAATGGAATTTTTAAAGCATTCTGAATGTAAAAAATAAAAAAAAAAAAAAGTGCAAGACAATAAGAAACACTACATGCCAAAAACAAAAGTGAAGTTTTTGTTGAAATCAGTTGAAAAAATGTAGGTAGCCTTTCTGTAATCTTTTTAGTTTTTACAATTTATGATTTTTACTTATTGAATACAGTAAAAAAAAAAAATTGCATATTTTACTTGTGGTGATTCATAATTAAATTCTGATTTGAATATATTTTTCCACTCGTTGTTTCTAATACAAAAATATTAACTTTATTTGGGTTTATTAATTATGATCTAACAAATCTTATTCATTTAGTAGCCTTTCTTTAATAATCTTTTACAATTTATAATTTTTACTTATTGAATACAGTAAAAAAAATGGACACCATATTATTTAAAAGTAGTTTCCCGTTTATTATTTTTTAGTTAGGAGGACTTGTGTATGTTTAGATTTCATTATCTTTCCTAAAGATAAAGAATTATCCGATGTTGGATTCGTACAATCATTGAGATCATTAGATTATTGTTTAAGATTGACGGACATGCATGTCTTAATTAGTTTTTTTTTTTTTAATTGGTCAAACCAAACTCAAACAAAAACATTGTTTTCAATCGTTATGAGTCTCCCGATTGAATAGAATTTTATTATAAACAATTGTCTTGTAAATGGAATTTTTAAAGCATTCTGAATATTAAAATAAAAAAAAAAAATAATGCAAGAGAATAAGAAACACTACCTGCCAAAAAAAAAAAATTTTTGTTTTATTGGCTGAAAATGTTTTTTCGATCCCATATATAAAAGGAACACACAAACAACCTGGGTTTTTAAACTGATGTGAGTTGTCCCCCTTTATTCTCCACGATGTCTCTTAATCATGTTTTCAAATTGATTTTTGTGCAAAACAATTGTATTTTTACCATTTTTGGTGCTGTTAGAACCACCACAAGGTAATTTTATGTAGTCCTGTGAAGTTTTGTTGAAATCAGTTGAAAAAATGTTAAATCCGATCAATATATAAACGTTACAGACACACAATCTGCATTTTATAATAAGTAAGATTATATGCAAACAATCCTTAATACTTTTATTTATACTTAGATCAGGGTTTTATACAAATATTTTAGCATATATATATATGTATTGTCATCCACAGACAGACTGTTTCACTGTTTTTTTTTTTTTTTTTCAATTCTGAATTTATATCTACACACTATCTGAGTTGAAAAATGCCAGCGTAGTAACGTTTGGTTGAATAGCTATTCCTAATGAGGTATTTTTGGATTTCTCTATTATCCAACTTATAGGCAACTTATATGCTCTGTTATAATAAATACATTGAGCTCTTTTTATAGATCAGTTTTAATATTTTATATTATTAAGATTCACTTGGTTATATCACCATGGAATTTAGTGAGTAGTAGAGCTATATCTAGTCTAGTCAGTTTCTTTTTGTCACCAAGACCTGTTGGTCCAGTGGTATGATGTATCGTGACAGTCTGGGTTTGATACTTGGTAGTGGATGCACACTGCTGATGAGTCCT